GCAATTGAAAATTAGACACAGATATAAGTACATTATCCCTGGATTATAGCAAAAGTTGTCTCACAGACAGCCTGGCGTGCAGTCCTGTCTTCCTCTTCCCTTTACTGCTTCGGTAAGTCAGGCTCAACCAGCTGTGTTTGCGCAGTGCAGTTCTGCTGATGTTTCTGACCACTCTTTCTTACCTTCCAACTGCCGCACAAGAACATTCGAGCACTTCCCGAACTTCAGCCCCCTGTCCTGGCTCCTGTTTTCTATCTGGATGTGTCCCCACCTGCAGATAGGTTACTGGTTAGCTGAACCTCCATGAGTTACTGGAGTCTACCATGCTATCATTGAGGTCCAAGTCTTTGTGTGAAAGAACTTCAAAAACATTTGTGACAAATGACCTTAAATAATACTTCTTCTGATGAAAAATGAAACCATTGAAAGCCATTTATTTGAGGAATCTTCCAAAAAGTGCATGTAAATACATGGGCTTATATATTTGTTTGAATAGCAGTGTGACAGAGATGGGAATGGTGGCAGAGAGAGAACACTCCCAAACACTGGTTTAGTCCCCAAACACCCTCAATGGTTGAGCTGGCCTGGGCTGTAACAGAGTCTGAAGACAGGGGTCAGGAACGTGAGCCAACTCTCCCATCTGGGTAACAGGAACCCACTTACATGCCATCATTTGTATCTTCCAGAGGAAGCTGGAATTAGGATCCAAAATCAGGAATTGAATCCAGGTACTCAGACATCAGCTATGGCTCCTTAGTGGTTAGGTTAAACATCCTTTCCTCAATTTTTTTTTTTGCACCAAGATAAACATATCATTTAATTCCATTTCTTCATGAATATTTTAAAGTACTCTAATATGCCCCTGACAGTATCCTCTTCACTTGCCAAAGTCCTGCTCTTCCTTATAGAGTATTTTTTCAAATTTCTCTGCTCCAGGAACCTTTTCTTGACCCTGCTGACTTGTTCCCTCTGGTGTATCATAACATGTGGTTTTTCTTTCATTGTAGTCTTTGACACACTAAATTATATGTGTGTTTTATTTTATATCTCTTTCAGACTATTAAATTCAGGAGGGCAGAACCCTTATGTTTTGAAAGTAATATCCCCAACCTTAGCATACTGTTGGGCATGCAGTATGCTAAGGTATCCTAAATATGTTTTATGTGGTAGTTCTTTTCTAGGTAGTTTCTATGCCCTAACTTAGATTCAAATCCTAGTCATTTCAAGAAGCATAAGTTTGGTTTTGTTCCAATTATTACCTTGAATTTTTGGCTTAGTCTTCTTCAGATGTGATTAAAACAAATGTGTCCCAATTTCTCTCAGCAGTGAACTCAATTTTAAAAACTGACCATAAAAGAGTAGCTTTTCCATGTTGGTTACTCAATACCATGTCAACTAATTCCATTATGTTATAAATTGTTACTGATGTAATGCTGAGGCTTTTAATTGATTGGGATGATACTGTGTTGGCTCTACCTTCAGACCAGAGATGGTCTCCCCAAGAAGCAGTTGAACTTATCTGGACAATAAGACGCTGGACTCTGTGCTTTGTAGATGCTTGCAATGAAAGAATCTCAACTGAATTTGAACTGTGGTAATGCAACAAGGTGGAGGAATCCGCCATGGGGGAGGGCGAGGTTTGGGGAGGGGTGGGGAGAATCCCAGTGCCTATAAAACTGTATTACATAATGCAATGTGATCAATAAAAATAAAAGAGTAGTTTTTCTTCCAAAACAAATTGGCAAGAAATGAAAAATCTGGCATGTTTTGCCTTCTACACACTCATATTGTCAGTTCCAGATTTCTGACCCATCTTATATTTCTTTTGGGTTCAGGTTGCCTAATGGTTCATTTCCTTACATGAATTGATAAGAATTCTTCTGCTGACTGAGGGATGGATTATGATTAGGGACTCTGTTTAGAGAGAAGCAACACAGTTCTTCCTGTGCCTGTTAAGTAAATCAACCTGCCACATTAAGACAAACTCTAAAGGGTTTTTAAATGGACAACATCATACTGGGTATCCTGTCAATGGAATGCTGGGTGGCTCTTTCAGGGTTGTCTGATTCTAGAAGGATCTATGCCTTTCTTTAATTCTTTAGTGTTAGGTGCCAGACAGTGCAATTATATATAGATGTAAAAATGGTTTTTCTCTAGTAGAAATATAAGCATTTTCTTTTGTATAAGTGATTCTAAACTTTAAATTTTATTGCTCCATAGTAAAGCACTTCAGATTTACTAGGAAGCTCATGTTGGCATTCGTGATTGCCTACAAACGTGTCTCATCTTTGACGTCTCCTTTGAAGTTATTTTAACTTCTTTTTTTTAAGATTTATTTTTATTATTTTTTTATTGGAAAGGCGGATATACAGAGAGGAGAGACAGAGAGGAAGATCTTCCGTCCGATGATTCACTCCCCAAGTGAGCGCAATGGTCGGTGCTATGCTGATCCGAAGTCAGGAGACTCCTTTGGGTCTCCCACGCGGGTGCAGGGTCCCAAAGCTTTGGGCTATCCTGGACTGCTTTCCCAGGCCACAAGTGGGGAGCTGGATGGGAAGCAGGGCTGCCTGGATTAGAACCGGCGCCCATATGGGATCCCGGGCGTGCAAGGCGAGGACCTTAACCACTTGCGCCACCGCAAGTGGTTTACAGATTTTTCACTGATGAATTTGTTAAATAAACTTATGCATCCATAATCATTTTACATATGTATTTGCCATAATTTTCTCTGTTGTATTTTCTATGATTTTCTTTTTTCAAAATTATAATCACCTTCTGCTTTTCTTTACAAAAAAAACCACATTTAGGTATTCAAAAAATATGCAACAAAACTTTTCTCCATATATACACTGCATTTGAACAGAGAGCTATCAGGAACACAGCCAAGGCAGAAGAATTAGCGCAACATTTGCTCTTAACAATATCAAGATCATTCTAATGGATTTATTCAGGATTTACTTGAAAAATAGTGAGAAATGTGATTCACTAGGTCGGCTGGGAATAGGGTGAAGAAAATTTGCAATTTAAATGCAAGAAAATAGTCTTTCTAAAAAGAACAACATTTAACTAGAAAAGATATGGTAGCTTAACACTAAGCTTTAGGACCTCTGACTGATGATGTTCTGTGAAGTTAATAGATTCTCGGAATCTCTGTAGCCCATGACATGGTAGTGCTTGAGGAGGGCTGCTGAAACTCACCCAAACTCTTCTATAACACTCTTTGAAAACAGAGAATTCCCTGGATGGGGTAGTGCTTTTAACTAAGCAGCCCAGTTCAGTCCTCATAACACAGTCTCTAGAGAATGTCCCACCAGGTTTATTCTTGACAGAACTTATAAAGTTGAGCCTCACATGTGAAGAAAGCTTCCTTTATTGCTTTCTGGACTCAGTTTTGAGGATCCCTAGGGCTTTTGTGATTCCGTGAGCAACATACAGAAAAGAACAGCAAACGCAGAGTAAGGTGGTCACAATATTTAGCTCAAGATTATTGTGGAATTTAAACTCATTCCAACTTATTTTACAGGTAATGAAATAACTGCTATTTAATCTGATGACATTTTGATATAGATGCTCCATGGAAGTCATGTAGTTCTCTCACAGTCCCTTCAGGGTTAGATTAGACGTGCATAGCTTCTAAGTCCTTTTCACTTTCCTGTGAAGTCCTATCAACATCTCCCATTATCAGTTTAATGTCTGCTCAATGTCCCTCAGCTTATCACTGCATATGATTGTAACTCCTTGACTATAAAGGCAATGTCATCAGGATCAAGACACCAAACTTTTGGCTCTTAGTTAAAACAATTCTACTGCTGGCAAACTAAGGGTTTTTCTTTTTAATTTTTAAAAAAGGAATATTCACTTTAACTCATGAAAATTATGTAGGATTCAGTTGTGTGAAGTTTTTTTAAAAATTAATTTATTTATAAGTGAGACTAAGAGAGAGAAAGAGACATCATTCATTTGCTGTTTCATTTCACAAATCACCACAGGAGTCAGGGCTGGGTGAGGCCAAAGCCAGGAGCCAGGTGCTCCCTGGCAGTCATGTGGGACTGCAGGCTCATCTGTGCTTCCCAGGTGCATGAGTGGGGAGCTGGACTGGAAGAGGAGCTGCAAGAATTCTAACCCATTCTCTGCTTTGGAATACAGGTGTCCTTTTACCTACTGTGCTGCAATTCCCTATAATTAAAGCTTGTCACACACAGTCATGCTTGCTCACATACGTATTGCCTGTGGCAGGTTTGAGGATTCCTTGGAAATGTTGGTAATCACACTGAAGACTGTACAACACCCCCCAAGTCACAAATATTAACTCTCCAGGCTTTTACGCAAAATGAAAGTTGGACCATTCCTAGTATAGTGCACAAATGCGCTTGCAGCATTTCCCAAGAGATGATTACCATGTGATGGACTGTTGAGGGAATGCATATGATGGAACACAACTGGACACAAGAAAGGATGAGACAGCAGAGCTTCAAATATTCCATTGAAAACCAAAAGTGGAAATCAAAATAGTGACATATATCTTCTGGTTTAGCATCAGCTGAGCACTCATGCTGATTACATCTCTAGACTAGCGAAGTCAGAGCTCCAGTAAAGTGTGTCGATGGACACGAAAGAGGCTCTGAGAAGGGCATGAGCCCCTAGCGAGCCAACAACAATGCTGCCTCCAGATACCAGCTCACTGAGTTCTCCAACACTAGTTGGGGTTATGCTTGATATTTATTGATAGGCACATAGGAAAGAAACTTAACAGCAAGTAGCATACTTGTAGCTAGGTCCATCTGATGGGATAGAGAAAGCTCCCCTTGGTCCCTTCCCATGGGTCTCTCCATTTGTATATGAGTAGTGTAATTTACAAGAGAGAACTGAGAACTCCTGACTCCTCATGCTAATTCTGTAACGTTGTTTCAGGACACGGAAGCCACCATCGACAGGTTGCTGACGCTCCTGGCCTTTCTGCCGCCCGTGGACAGCAGGCAGTACATGAAGACGGCTCAGCCATGTCCGAAACTTCCTCCCACGACTCCTTCTACGATTCCCTGTCAGACATGCAGGAAGAAGGCAAGCACACTGATTTCTTCCCTGCGCTGTCTGCTTTCCTCAGTCAGGAAGAGATAAACAAGAGCCTTGACCTGGCTCGGAGGGCCATAGCCGACTCCGAAACCGAGGACTGCGACTCGGAGAAGGAGATCTCACAGATTTTCAACCCCTCCTGTGGAAGCCCCTGTGCAAACCGCTCCCATCCGGAAGCCCAGCGGAGCTCTCCGGCCAGCCCGCAGGATCCCAGGCTGGCACCTGCGCAGCCTCCGGCAGGGCAGGCTAACAATACCGCTTCACCTGCTCCCAGGAGGAAACCAGCCATGTCGCCACTGCTGGCCAGCCCCAGCTACATCCGGAGCCTGCGCAAGGCTGAGAAGCGTAGCGGAAAGGCAGCCGGCTGTGGCGTGAAGCCCAAGCCCACCCGTGCTGGGAAAGCTGGTCCTCAGGGCCAGCTGAGTGACAAGGCAGCCAATCTGATCGAGGAGCTCACCTCCATCTTCAGGGAGGCCTCAAAGCCAAGGACCAGAAGCCCCAACGGGGAGTCCTCCTCACCTGACAGTGGTTACCTGTCTCCTAAGAACCAGCCGACAGCCTTGATGAGTGCTTCGGCCAGCCAGAGCCCCACCGGCGATCACCAGGGCCTGGAAGCAGAGGTCAAGGAGCCCGAGGCCAGGCCTGGCTACCAGCTGCACCAGGATGTAGCCGCACCTTGCACCAGCATCCCACGCCCTCCACCCTCTGCTGCATCCTATCTTCAGTCTGCACCCCGGTTCACGCAGAAGCTCAGGAGCCAAGAAGTAGCAGAGGGAAGTCGCATTTATTTGGTGTGTAGAGTCACTGGAAATCCAATGCCGCATGTCAGGTAAGAATTCTTGTGAATGCCAAATGGTGTACTTGACCCTAGAGTTTACTTTGACCTGGAAGAGGAAAGTTGGTCCTCAGCAAACTGAAGTAAGGTTTTACTGACTATCTGAAAGGAAGAAGCTTCCCAGAATTGCCAAACAAACAAACAAAACAAAACAAAACAAAACAAAAAGCCACTGTGAGCCTGCTGCATGTGCCTGATAAGATGTTTGTATTGGCAGGACCCGTGAGGCTGTACGGGGAGGGAAAAGGAAAGATTGGCTTAGGCAAAGAGAAGCACAAGTGGGTGTTATCCAGGATTCTGGAATTGATAGAGGCCAGAGAAGTAGAAAACTGGTTTATTCAAAGTGCCAGGGAAAGAGTGTGTGTGTGTGTGTAGTGGCTGAAGATAGCGAAATTGTGGCTCTAATGGGAATCTGGCTGGAGAGGAAGGGCACAGGTGTGCTGAGGCCAAGCATAAAGTTAGTCCCCAAAACACAGAATTTGATGACTAATGTGAGTCAAAGCGGCCCGTATTCAGTGAAAGTCAGCAAAGCCACACATTTGCCTCCACTGTAGTGCAGCCAAGGCGGGCAGAACTTGTCTAACAAGACGGCTACCTCCAGGTGGCGCTGCCATAGGCCGGTGACTCATGCCTGGCTCCGACCCTCAGAGCAAGTGCTGGGCAAAGAAAGGCTGTGAAGTGAGCGTGCACTGAGTGTCCTTTAAGATTTCCATGCAGCCTTCCTCCTCAGCTGTGGAGCCTTCTCCTGTGTAAAGCATTTAAAGAGTGACCCTGGAGTCACACTGCAGGACTTCCTGTTATGACCCCAACAGGATCTCCAGAGTCAAGCTACTTTCCTCTGTTGTTGTCTGTGAAATGGGCACTCAAATAATTTTCCAATAATTTCAAATAATTTTCAAATAGTTTTATGGTGGCCAAATAGAATACTGTGTGAAAAAGAATAGTCACCTAGCAACTGTTCCACTCACGTTCTATTTAAATTGTATTATTTCTCATTTCTTAATTTCATGTACCAAAATGAATGTAACATTTCAAGTTAGGATTATGCTACAAAAAATAAGCCATCCTTCCCTGATTTTGAAGATGTTGCCTTTTTTTTGGAGATTTCTTTGTTTATTATTATTTTATTTTGATGATTGGAATTGTTGCCTTTGTAAATGGATACTTTTACCTAAATTATGCACATATAAAAATCAATTCAAAATTATTTAATTTGGAAACATAATGGTCCTCATTAAGCAAACATTCAGTGGTCCTTTTTTAAAAATCACGTCTCATTAAAAGTATGCTATTTGCTAGTAGTTGGTTTCATTTGACCAAACACGGCTCACCAACATGACACATGCATTAGAATGATTGGCTGAAGGGTGGTGTAAATTAGAGGCAGGTAGATTTTCCTCAATTCATTCAACTAATGCTTCTTAAATCAATTTTACAGTGATTTTACCATCTTCTGTTTGTTTTAGACACTGACAGCAGGGGGCAGTAAAAACCTTGCTAATGTGTTCATTTATTTAAACATTCTGAATTCCACATTGATGTTGTTCATAAAGAACTTACTTGCCTCATTATTTTGCTTCTGATAAAATGAAATTGAGATTTCTTTCAGATTCTATCTAGTTTTTCAAAATCTACCAATCTTGTACAAATTCTTTCCAACTGTGTATGATTTTATCTATCTTTACTGCAAAAATAGTCCCTCTCTCTGGATTAGCATGGCAACTGTACTATGGCCGTTCAAAAATGATATTATCCAATTGGCACCAAAGGACTAATTCAGAGAAGCAGTCTTTGATTACTGTGTTCACATTAATATAAGTACCTATACACATTGTCTAATGCCAGGGGCTATCCAATTCTGCTTTTTTGAGGGTGAGGGCATTAATTTGGTTAGCAAGCACAGTGTTATTGACTGGCTTATGTTCTCTTGTCATCATCTGGTCTACTGTAGTCCATGACTAGGATTGACTAGCCAGTGTACGTTGTACGTGTTCTAGAATCATGAGCAATGATTGTTTAAAGTTAGTTGTGTTTTATCCTCTGAAGGGTTATTTTGGTAGTTGCTGTCATTGTTTTAGTTGAGACTGAATATAGATGTGCCTTGGATTTTGGACATTTCTGTTCTCAAGATCTGGGTCTTCTGTGTGTTTCCCACCATTCTATTGCTGCTTCAGAACTGGGTAAACAAGTCATGGCCCCTGAAATCATCCCCCTTCCCTGGCCTCTCAGCTTCTGTGAATCACTAAAAACTTTGTGAGAATTCTAGTTCAAAATGACTTCTGACACTATGAGAAACAGATTTTATTATTTTTTTCCCCTATGCTTAAAAATAGGTGTGGCCACTATTTGTGTTAAACCCTACAAATATGAGGATATTGAAATAGAAAACTTAAATGATGTGCCTAGCAACAACAACAAAAAAATACTTAGTCCTAGTTCCAGGGTGTCCCTAGGCTTTCTGATTGCTTATTCATTATGCAGTAGCCATTGGGGACATTTTAGCCGGTGTGGCCGTGACTTTAGTAGTAGTACCTAGGTTATCAATAAGCTCCAGATCAAAGAAAAAGGAATTGCCTCTTTGGAAAATCCATATTCCAAATGCCCTCTAAGGAAACAATATGCCAGTTAGCATGTCTCTGTTTGAAAATACAAAGCCATGTCTCTTTGTGGTTATTCTTTCCTTTTATTGCAGCATGCTGTCAATAATTGTCCATCAACACACAACAAAAAGATGTAACAGGAGTGATCAGGGATTCTCCATCAAATAACTACATAGCAAAGCACTCCCAGCTTAGGCAGAGTGGTTCCAGACACATATATCCTCATGCTCATGTGCATAAGATAAACATACACATGTGCCCAAGGACAAGATGCCTTTGAAACACCCACTTACTGCCATAAAAGTACATTCCAGCAACAGTCCAAGCATGTGCTTCGTTGTCCTCGACATAATTACTCGTTAGTAATAAGATGCCGATCAGATCATAAATTTGTTAGTCCCATAAATTTTTATTTAATGCATATAATTAAAGGCAATTAAATTATTTTTATAATCAAAACCCAGTACCTCAAATGCCTCTGATGGGTAAATGTTAGCAAGACTCTGATCATTGTCAAAAGCAAAGACATCAGTATGTACAATATAAAATCTGTATAAGTCTGCCTGTAGAAATTTCTGTTTTCAAGACAATTTAAGAAAAACAAACCTTTGATTTAATTTTCCTAGCAGTGTGTGGTATATACTGTCTGTTGACTGCTTTGGGAAGATATGGCCAATGCATCCCAGCCAGGAGGATTTGAATGTTTGAATCAATCAATCTCTCTCTCTCTCTCTCTCTCTCTCTTTCACACACACATACATACATACATATACATATATATAGTAAGACTCCAGAGAGCAGCATTTCCACTAACCAGTTTCCAGCCCAAACCACCATCAATTTTCTCTCAGGCATTCACATCACTCTCTGATTGGTGTATTGCCCCCTATTGTTGCTCATCAGAGTCTCCATGGTGCTCACCCTAACGCCTTTTCATGCTCAGAGGTAAATCCCCAGATCGTACTAGCACTCATAAGGCCTTGTTCTCTTGTGCCGGGTTCTCCTCCTCTCTCCATCCTGGTTGCACCTGCACCATACCAGGTGTGTTACTGTCTGAGTCATGCATGCCTCCCAAGTCTTTCTACTTCAGTGTTCACCTAAATGCATGAAGAGTTGGATCTTCCCTCTCTTTTACATCTTACCTTAAATGTCACCTTTAGAGTATGGCTTGCCAACACTATCCTATGAAAAAGAACAGATCTTTCCCATTCCACACTCTTGCTTTGTTTTTCTCCATAGAATTTGTGTAACAACCTGCATATTTTGTTTAGTTTTAGCACACTGTATCTTGTTGCTAGACTATAAAATCCACGAGTGTTAGAACTTCACCTGGGTTTCTCATTCTGGTGTCTCCAGGGCCTCCAATAGTCTGACATGTAATAGGTGCTCAATAAATACTGTAAAATAATTATGCGAATGAATCCTTCTCCTAAGTATAATCCTGAAAGAAACTTACACTCATGGGTGCAGAGATATATGATAACAGTGTTCATGAGAGCATTGTTTCAGAAAACAAGTATTTTGCTTTTGTATCTAGCCAGGAAGCAGTAGCTAAGTTACTGCCATCAGTTTACATTTCAATGGCCATGTTTCTGGAATTTACAAGAAAACCCACAAATAAATACCAAACCAAGTGTACCTAAGGCATGAATGTATTCACCAGTACTCTCCTTAGAATTAAAGATTTGCTTGTGGAATAGGAGTTGGTAAAGTTTTGTGTTTGTCTGTGTGTCTGGAGCAAGAGCATCAATCTTGGCTCTGTCACATTAGTCAGGTCACTTTGGCAAATTATATATACCCTCTGTGCCTCAGTTTCCTGGCTGGTGTGATGAAAAAAATGTAAGTGCCTACTTTTAGGGTAATTGTGAGTGTTAGGTTAGTTAACGCAAGGAAAAAGTTTGAAATTAAGTATAAATATTTATATATAGTTTGAAAGTAACTATAAGCATTCATATATTATCTATAAAGTTATATATTTTAAAAACTACTTTTTCTAACATGTATTCTTATTTCCAAGGTTAAGTTGCAGAGAGAGAGAGAGTTAGGAAGAGATAGAAAGAACTTTCCATCTGTTTGTTCACTCCCCCAAATGACCACAATGGCCTGAGCTGGGCCAGGCCAGAGCCAGGAGCTTCATTTGGTCCTCCCATGTAGGTGCAGGCACCCAAGAACTTGAACCATCTTCCTCCACTTTTATTGGCCATTAGCAGGGTGCTGCATCAGAAGTGGGGCACCTGGGATTTGAGCCAGTGGCCGTATAGGATTACCAGCTATGCCACAATGTCGGCCCCACTTTTATTAACTGCCATTCTCTTAAGATAAACTGCCTATATTATGCCTTCTCCCAAATCTGTAAATCTGTTTTGCCCTTTAAAACAAAATTTTTGTGCTGTA